AATCTCAAGTAAAACTTTAATAAAAGTGAAAAATGTTAGATTAATTTGTTCTTTAGCTTAACATCCTGTCGGATTCCAAGCCATATTTGATTTGCATTTGATCTTTTTATATATATATAAAGGCATCAGATCATTATTGAAACATATATTGTTAAATATAACAGACAATGTTTTATCATGAGCCTTTCCAAAACATTCATAATAGGCATTCATTGTTTATTATATTCAATATTTTGTCTTTTTTTTTTTTTTATTTATTGAATAAATATGTATTATCCCCTTCCATTGTTGAGTTACTGTTTGTTTGTTTGTTTATTTATTTATTTATTTTTGGTCACATGGTCATTTATTTATGTTGTAGGCTATTTATATTCTGTTCTAATATTCCTCTTTGGCTGGCACACCCTGATGATCTGCGTAAGTAAAACCTAGGTAGGTTTGCCTAGCTCTTTAGGTTCATAGTTTTATATATATATATAATATATATATATATATACACACACACACACACACACAAGTATATAATTGGTATATAGAGAATGAATTCCAATAATCAACAATTACTATTCTTAAGAGTGCTCAAATCAAAGTAGAGCAGATATAATTATATTTTTTAAAAAATTTATAACATAAATATGTTATAAATTCACTACAAAAATAGCCATTTTGTTTCAACACCCTCGGTGTCTCATCAAGTGAAGACACCGAGGTGTTGAAACAAAATGGCTATTTTTGTAGTGATTTTATAACATATATATATAATTATTTTTTTTTTTAAATTTATAACATAAATATGTAAATTTTGTAAAAGTATTTTTAGATTGTATCTTGGATTGTACATTTAACAGCATCTACCATAAACTTTAAACTTAATAACTCAAAAAAAAAAATGGATTTGCAGACATACTTTTATATGGATTTTTGTCCTTGTTTTGGTGTGAGGAACCTGCTCCCAAAGTTTGTCAAAATATTTTTGATATAACCTGTATAAATTGTAGTTTTGGAAAAAACGGAATTTTGACATGTTTTACCAATGAAACAATGTCATGAGGAAAATGGGTTTTATTTCAAGTATATCTACATAAGTGAGATGGAACATAAAAGAGGTTTATTAAAATTGAAAATTAGAATTTGAATATTCAAGACAAGAATATACATAAAAAGAAATCTTTCTTTGAATCTCAGAGAATAAATGCCATAGAATTCTTCCAGAATCTAATATATCACCCAATCCAAACCAGAAGAATGAATTTAATCATCTTGAAGAAGAAAATTTGTAAATAGATAAATGGTATTCCCTGATCCACATTTTAAATGAAATTGAATAGCTGGATTATTATCTGAAACTCACTAAAGAACTGAGGAAATTATAGAATATTTAATTGACAGTTGTATCAGTTATTCTTTGATCACTGGAACTGATCCTGAAAATGTTTGTTTGTCAAGATTTTTTTTGCAACTATATATTTTTTTTTAATTGGCATCACCCCTATGCAAGGCAGTAAAGCCACTAAAACACAAAGGGTTGTGGAAGAATTAGGAACCCAAACATTAATAATGAGCAGGAAGAGGAAAGAGTAATTAGGTGGACAGTAGATAGTGATTGACATTGCATTTAAAGTTTGAAGGAAGGGAGTTCCACAAATGAGAAGAGTGACAAAAGAATCTCTTAGCATAAAATTTTATGGCTACATCTACCCAGCTCAACTGTAAAATTTTATGAGATCTCAACATAATCAATAATTTGATAATTATTTTAATTTTATATGGATAGATCAATAAGTCCATAGCCTAATGATTAAAAACAACATTTGTTTTACACAGCTAATTTTATTTATTTATTTGTCAATGCACTTAATACAGAACTTTTGTTCTGAATTCTTTACTGTATAATGTTAAATCTCTGTAATTAAAACAAAATTCAAGTCTGTGTCAGGTTATGTAATTATTAATCTAAGAAAAAAAAAGTTTAACTATACTTTGAGATTAAATGTAATGTATCTTTCTTTTTGTTAAAATAGTTTATTCAAGTGTAAAATAACCTTTTTTGAAGGCAGTGTTTTATGTACAAAAATGAATCAGTTAATTAAAAATTAATTTTCAAAGGCATTTTGGCAATATTTGACCTTCAAGCCCACAAAAAAGGCTTGTCAAAAAGGTGGTTTTTCCTTTGCCTCCAAAAAAAAAGAAAACCTGTACAAAATAATAGCAGTGTCAAACTATTTTAACAAAAACAGTTTCTTTTACACTTGAGTACAGTTTTAAGCTTAAAAATGAATAAGGTGTATAAATAAGTAAGGCATAGAAATATAGACACATTTATGCTTAATTATGAGATGAAGTATTATGTACACTATTTACATTATTCGAACTATTGTACTCATCTTTGTCGCCATATTTATCACAACATTTCAGCCGTTGTACGCTCCGGCCTTCTTCAGGTAGTTGGAATGTCAAACTGAACCCTTTATTTTGCTCACTGGAGTAGACTGTTCTACGTGCCATGTTTAATGGATGTCAGTTATCTCCTGTTAATTCCCCTCTGCAAGTTCTCCACTATCTTAGCCAGGTATTGAACTTGCACTCTTTGGGTCCTGTCAATGGATCCTCAAGGACACATGGCACAGTGGAGAAAGGTGTTGGTTAGAAAAAAACCATCCTCTTGACATACCATATTTTTGCAGGCATGAAGCTACAAATCTGATAAATTTTTATTCTTTCATTACAATTCCAAAAAATGAAAATCCCAAATGTTTATTAATAGTTATTTTACATTGAAATATTGTACTTCAGATTTTGTCCACATTTAAACAAATGCTAATATTAACAACCATATTCAGCAGAAAATTATTGCAGATTAAATTTCCTTTCCCTTTATGATTTTGTTCTATTGCTTTTCACCATATCATTAGTCCTGACCTGACATCTTGGCTTCAGTCACATTCCCATCTCCATAATGTAGCTTCCCTGTGCCTTTTCTATAAATACTTTCATGGTAAGTCTTCTAACAAACTTTCCTCTATCATACCTAAACTTTATGAATTTAAGTTCAGTACTAGATTGGCGGCAAGGTCTCATCATTTTACAACTGAAGTGCCTTGATGTAACCGTAAGTTCTATGCTGACAGTTTCTTTTCTTGTATTTCCCGCTTGCAGAACTCTCTTCTTGCATTCCAGCCAACTTTGTTCTTCAAAAATTTAGATACAATATCAATTATCTTCCACCCTCTTAATTCTTATTCTTTTACTGTTTTCTCTCTTTAATAATAAAAATTGTTTTTTTTTTCTCATATTTTCTCACACTCAGTGACCCCCCTTGCACCCTGTTTTTTTTTATATATTCTTTCTTACTCAGTAACTCATTGTGTATGTTAGTGTCTTTTCTGCCTTGCTAGGGGTGAAATGATCAAAAAAACAAATATATAGACAATGGAGTGAATGAATGAAATCATCTTGTGAATGAGAGAAGAAGGAAGACAGCTGGAAGGAAGAATTTATGAATAAAGGAATTGCTGTGTCAATGGAGAAAATGAAAGAAAGAGCAGAGAAGTGACTAGGTCCAATGAAAGACAGCCGTTATGAGAGACAGAAAGAAAAAAAAAATGAACATTATTGTGGTGTTGGAAATATAAACTTAAAGGTAGAAATTAGAGTAAAGCAGAGTCGGGGGGGGGGGGCTAGACTGATGGAAGGCTAAGATAAAACAGAGATGGAAAGTTGAAATGTTCAATGAAAATAGTTTTGTTGGAAATCAGTAAAAAAAAAAAAAAAATATCATAAATGAAAATTCTAAAAAAGCAGTAAGAGTAAAAAATGAGATTCAGTTTAATAAAACTTTTTTTTTTTTTTCCTTTTCTTCCTTTCACTTCTTTCCCCATCAAACTCAGGAAGGAATGAAAAATGAACAGATTAGATGAAAAAGAAACAAAGACCAATGGCGGCAAGGAATAATGTTTTCAGATATGAACTTGAAAAATAAAAAGCAATGAGTAAAGAAAAAAAAAGGTATGGATGAAGTATAGTATTTTAGATCAAGAAGGTGGGTAAGTATTAAAAAGATCAAAGATGATAGGAGAAAAATAATGAATGAAGAACATAACTTCTTCAATGTGCCATGTTTCTTCAGGGTATAGGCAATCAAGGCTCTCCACAATTTCCTGTCTTTTGTCAGTCTTAATTAATGTTGTCTTTTTGTTATCACTCCTAAACCTTGTTCCACCATTCATTTACTCAAGCTCATTCTTCTTCTTCTACTTGTTGTGTCCCTTCAGGACGTTGGTGATCATGGCTCTCCACAATTTCCTGTCTTTTGTCAGTCTTAATAAATGTTGTCTTTTCGTTATCTCTCCTAAACCTTGTTCTGCCATTCATTTACTCCAACTTGTCATGATGTTTTTCGCTGTTTTTCTTTATCCTTCTTGCTTTCAGTATATCCTGTGGGTATCAAATTTTCTAAGCCCTCTTTCCTCATTATATGCCTTAGAAATTTTTCAGATGCTAAGTATAAGATTCCTTTCTTTTGCATTTTCTCTAATACTTTGTTGTTCATGTGTTCAGTCCATGGTATCCTCAGCATCTTTTTGTAGAAACACATTTCTATCACTTCAAGTTTCTTCTTCATCTGTGCAGAGATGGTCCAGTATTCACTGCCATAGAAGAGGATGCTATTATATAACCACTGAGTACTCTTTTTCTCTGTTTCTAATGAAATTTTCCTGTTTCTTAATACTTAGCTTTGGGAAGGCATCTTTCTTATTCAAATGCAAAGCCCTTTCAGACTTTACTGACCCACTGCCTATCCTCTCTTAAAACACTTCCCAGATATTTAAGTTGTTGTACTTGCTTGATTTTCATATTTCAGATTTGCAGTCTGCATAATTACTTTGAAAAAAAATCATATAAAATACACATCTGAAGCTATTAAAAAAAATTTATAAAAAAAAAAAAAAATTGGGCATAGATTTTTAAATGTAAAAAAGAATAATGATGAATGAATCAAATCAGAAAATAAAGATGAAGAATTTTAAGAGGAAGAAGGAGAAATAGAAAAAAAAAGAAAAGGTGTTGAAAAAAAATAAAGGAAGAAAAATGAAAAAAACATGAGTGATAGAAAGTAGAAAAGAAAGAAAACAAAGATAAAGAAAGGAAAAGACAGTAGAAGAAAAATGAAAAATAAATCTTTCAAAGTGTATATATCAACACCACAGGGTGAGTGTCATCTGATAACTACCTGAAATATGAAACTAAGGTCCACATTACTAATCTGTCTGTCTGTCTATATTTCTGAGATGAGGTATTATGCACATTATTTACATTATTCGGACTCTTGTCCTCATCTTTGTCACCATATTTATTACAACGTTTCAACCGTTGTACGCTTTGGCCTTCTTCAGGTGGTTGGAATGTTATTTTTTTTAATCTATACTTTTATTTTTTGATTCCATGCTTCTCAAAACCTCCCAATCCAATTGCTGCTGGATGTAGTTTATCGTCATACCCAGGACCTCTTTTCTGATTCCAGTATTGTCAATAAGTTGATCAATGAAGGTTCTTGCTGGTCTACATTTATTGAGTTTTATGGCTATATCATTTTGAAATATCAGTTCACATACAATCACCAAAGTTAAGCAATGTCGAGTCTGGTTACTACCTACAGTGGTGACTGCTTGAGACTACCAGGTGATGTAAGCTAGGTATATGCGAATGGTGTAATTGATAATGGCTTGGAATTTTTAAATGGGGAGTTCAAATTCCAGTTAGGTTCATTATATTCATTTGCACAAAATTACTCTTGGGAAAGGTATGAATCCACCTCTTCTATCCCCAGGTATAGGTTAATTAGTGAGACTTGTATCACTAAATCATTATTATCTCAAAAAAAAAAAAAAAACAACAACAACAATCTAAAAATATTTTCTGGCTTTAAATAACTTACAATGGGTGGATACTCTGTAAAAAAAAGGAATAAATCAATCTCTTGATCTAACCTCATAATATATTGTATATATAGTATGCTCTGGCCTTCTTCAGGTGGTTGGAATGTCGAACTGAACCCTTTATTTCCCTCACTGGGGTAGACTGTTCTAGTTCCACGTGCCATGTTTCATGGATGTCAGTTACCAGTTATCTCCTGTTAATTCGCCTCGCCAAGTTCTCCACTGCTTTAACCAGTTATTGAACTCTTACTCTTTGGGTCCTGTCACTGGATCTAACTAACGCCTTTATCCACTGTGCCATGTGTCCTTGATAAATATGGCAACAAAATGAGGATGATAGCAATGTAAATAGTGTAGATAATACCTCATCTCAGAAATATAGACACATACTGAAGAATCAATTTATACAATATAAAGTATAAGCAGCACATTCTAATATATATATGTATATGATAGAGAGGAAGGTAAACACATAGGAGAAGTGTGATATATATAGATAAACAGATGCATATGAAGAGAGTTAGATAGATAGATAGACAGATACACAGATTGATGCCAACTGACATAGACAGATATGAATAGACCGAGATAGATAGATAAATATGAATAAACCTATGGATCAATAGATATGAATAAGTGTATATTAACAGTGTAACGTGTGAAAAGTGTAGAAGGGAGAAGCAGAACATAATTGAATTCTGTTGGAAGCTAAAAAAAAAAAAAAAAAAAAAAAAACAGGAAAGACACTCATAAAAAATGTTGGTGATTGAACCTAAAGATAAAAATGAATGCTATAAAACGAATTTATATATTCCATGTGCATAAAAATGATTTTAAATCAATATTGGGGCGGCAAAAAGCAAAGTGATAGTCAATTGTTATCAGAAAATAAGATTATTTCACATCCTAATACTTCATTTTTTTTTTCTTTCTATATTTCCCCTTCATTCACTTTCTCTTTCTCTTATGCACTCTCTCTCATTCTTTTTTACTTTCTTTCATTTTGCATTTTCTTTCTTTCTCTCTTTATCATTTGCTCTCATTCTCATTTTTCTTTCTTTCTTTCTTTTTTCTCTAAAACAACAGATGGATCCATGAAATACCACTGAGGTCTACATACTAACAGAACCTTTCCCCCATGAAGAAATAAAATCTGTAACAAACCATTCCATACACAAATCTTAAACAATAAAATATTTACTCAGTAGAAATTAATAATCAACCAAATCAAATGTAGTTACTTTTATCTCTATTATTTTTAGAATTTATAAAAAAAACCACACTTGGTACTGTCCTTAGTATTGTTCCTTGTCACTTAGAAAATCTTGGAGACATCCTGCATAAATGAACCAAATGACAAAAATGCAAATAATCTTAAAAATCTATTTACATATTTTTATTCTTAATTATATTTTCTTTTTTGCCTTTTTTTCTTTTACTTCAGTTTCTCATTATTTTTCTCTTTTCACCATTTAATACCATTTTACCATTATACCATTTTATCACACTGAAACACTGTTTCTCATGATCACCTGTTTAGTACTTATTTCATTCATTCTTAGATGGATGAATACAATGAAGTTATGATACATACTAACAGACAGTGATAGATAGCCATCCTGTGTATGACGATAAACTATCTATGTCCAACAGCAAGGCCTCTGATCAGCAATTAAGAGGTGGTTTCACACTTCTCAAAACTTCCTGGTGTTCCCAGATCCACTCTGACTTGGGGTTGTAGCATCTGTTAGGGTCCCAGCTATGGGGAAAATAGTTAACCCCGAAACTGAGGTAAAAAGCATTATAAGAGTATAAAAATAGGTTTTAATACCAGAAAAACTTTTTTTTCAAAAATATATTGCTGGTAATAATTTTTTTTTCTTTGTAAAAAGATTATTACCAGAAATAAATTTTTCAAAGTATTACCAGCAGTACATTTTTTAAAATAATATTTTTTCCTCAAAAATGTACAACTAGTAATATTACCAGAAATAGATTTTGACAAAACAAAATATTACCAGAAAAAAAAAAAGTTGTTGGCATTAAATGACCCATTGAGGTTGATATGCTATAAAATCAAACCAAACAATGATAGATATGAACAGATTGAGATAGATAGATATGAGCATTGATATATAGATATGAACAGTCAGTGATAAATAAAGGATGTTTCAATAAGATGGATCAAAGTCAGCAGTAAATAAATCAGTGTTTTTGGTGACAATTTATTTATTACTTTATTGGATCATGTTATTTATGTCATGGCAATTATGTGTGAAAAATAATATTGCCCAAATATTTGCTAAGGCTTCAGCAGCACACCTCCACTTGATGGTCAAAATTTTTGATGACGTCTCTGCATAGTTGCTCCTTGATCTCACCAATATGCCTTATTATCTCGTCCTTCAACCGTTGAATTGTTGTTGGCTTAGACCTTACTTTTGAGATAACTCCAAAGGAAGAAACCTTATGGCATCAAGTCGTACGATCATGGTGGCCAAATGACTTCACTGTTTTGAGAGATGATGCAACCTGGGAACTTCTCATTCAAATTCTGTTTGAACGTCCATTTTCGTAATTGGCTTCAATATTGTTTGATTGGCAATTTCAACCATGGAAAGATTAACAAAGACTTAAGCTGTTAAATTTGAAAGAAAAAGAAAATAATCATTAGACTCTTAAACTTAATTCCCCTTTAAAATTGGTCAAAGTTATTGGAACACCTTTTATATATGAACAGACTGAGATGCACTGTTATCAACATTATCTGATAATGTTCATACATACCTATCTATCTGATAGATATGAGCAGACTGTGATAGACTGATATGAATACTATCAGATAGATATGAAAAGATGGATAGATATGAACAGTCTATCATTGTTCATATCTATCCATCTACCACAGCCTGTGGTAGATGGATAGATATGAACAGACTGTGGTAGATGGTCTATTTACTGTCTATCACTGTTCATATCTGTGATAGATGGATAGATAGAAAGATTGGTAGACAGATGATGACCATGCTGAGATAAACGGATATATTGCATTTTGGTTTTGTTTTTAATTATTTTACCTGATAATAATGAGAAATTCTGAAATCATGATTGATGTAAAAAAAATGAAGTCAGAAACAAAAAACTTTCATCCATAAAAAGCAAATGTGTATGAAGAACCAAAGAAAGGAAAGAATTCTGATGGCAAAAAGAAAAAAAAAAATAAAGAAACCCTAGTTAAGATGATGAATAACTGAAAAGAATGAAAGAAGAAAAATTAATGGACGGACGAATACAAGCTAGAAATAAAAGGGACAATTGTTTTGAAGAAGTTGGGTGGTGCGTTGTTGGCCAGTGGTTTCATTTTCCCCTTTTTTTTTCGTTTCTAGCAGAAATGAATTAATGACATGATTGGGACGAACATACAAATAATTCTGTTGGTACCTTAGAGGGACATGAAGATTAATGGAGGTGGAGGGTGCACTGGAAGGGCTTGAGAAGATGAGGTCTCAATGCAGTCATCATTGTGTAGGTTGGGGAAGGTAATCAGAAATGTCTATGTGGAAGACAACAAGAAAATGTGCATTTGTGTTTGGATGTATGGATAGATGTATGGAATGACAAGAACTGGTGCAATTATCTTCTTAATTGGATGAGAAAGAAGAACAACAATAAGTGAGAGAGAGGAAGGAAACAGAAATGTATTTAAAGAAAGAAGGAAAAAGATTGGAATTGATGTGTTTTTAGAGAGTGAGAGAGATTGGGAAATCAAGATGGAGAGATAGAGGTAAAGAATGTGATTGTAAGAGAGAGGAAAAAGATTGAGAAAGAAAGAAAAAGTGTTTTTAAGAGATATATAAAGATTGAGAAAGGGAGAGAGAGAGATTGATTATTTTTTATGGCTTATCAACCCTTTTGGGTTATTTAAAGCCAAAACATAAAAAAAATTATTCTTACAATCCAAAATATGAGTGAATATCTCATTTTTTTGGTGTATAGCAATGATTTTTCCAGATACAAGTCCTACTATTTAACCCATAGCTGGGGGAGAAGATGGATTCATACTTTTCCCCAAGAGTATTTGGATGTAAGTGAATGTAACTAACTCAACTGTAATTCAAAACCAGTTCCCCAATTTTTTTTTATTTCAACCCACTATTTCACCAGCACATTTGTATGTCATAAAGAAAGAGATACAAATGTTCTCCTATCATATAATTTGTTTATGAGAAAGAAATGCAATGAAGGTAGTAGGGTTGAGGTGATTGTGAACCTATTAATGTTCATCTGAACTTCTTTGAACTAAAAATGGTAATGGTAATATGAGCCATTTCCCTATAAGGAAACATTTGGCATTCACTGACCAAGCAGACAGATTTTGTAAATTTCAACTGAAAGAAGTACTTTCTCTTCAAACAATTTTTCAGAAAAACAGCTTTCTCAAGTCCAGTAGCTGTTATAACTCTTTCTATTATTGATGAAGGAGTTTTCTTCCTAACCTTTTGTTTAAAGTGATGTGGAATAGTATCAGCTTGATTATTTCATTATTTTCTCTATGAGTTACATGTGCTATCCATTTTAGTTGTTGCTGCTGTTGGTAGTCCTCAAGTGATGTGGTATCTGTTATTTGTTACATTTTTTTCTTTGTGATTCTGTCGTACCAGTCCACAAGGTTCAAAATCGGATGTTCTTTCCCTAGACCTTCAGGTTTCACTTGCTCAAAGACATTTACAACCATTGGCTTATGGCCATATCATGTTGAAACGCTAGTTCCTGTATGATCACCAAAGTTAACCCTTTGGAGACGGTGTCTCATTAGAAGTTTCAGTGCCAAGATGATGAACTCTTTTTTTTACAAGCTGTCAATTGGAACACAAAAAAAAATCAAAAAAAAATCACAGAACAAAGCAAATTATCACAGAACCTGCCATTGAAAGACCCAGATGCAAGAAGAAATCTGATTGGCTGGCTGATATTCATACCAGCCAATCTCAAGGCTTGTATTATCGGGCCAATAGATCAGCACAATTCATCTTCTTTATCGTTCATCTTTTCAGTTAATAGATCGGCCTTGTTGTCTTCTAAAGGTTAAGCAACTTTGAACCTGGCCAGTACAACATAACTCTTTTCCTTACAGAACTAATGCCAATACAACATTGTTTTTTTTCTCTTTGTTTTTCATCATTTCACCCCAAGCAAGGCAGGAATGCTACTTTATGAAGAGGGTTAAAAGGAAGGAAAGTGAAAGAGAAGAAAGAGAATAGAGAGGATTGAGGAAAGGACAAAAGATGGGAATGAAAGTGAAAGAGAAGAAGTGAAAGAGAAATGAGAATAGAGAGGATTGAGGAAAGGACAAAAAGATGAACGGGAATGAAACTAGTACATGAGGGGGCTACAGGAAGTGAAAGAGAAGAATGAGAATAGAGAGGATTGAGGAAAGGACAAAAGATGAACGGGAATGAAACTAGGGGGGCTACAGGAAGTGAAGAAGAAGAATGAGAATAGAGAAAGAATGAGGGGATTGAAAAAAAGGATGAGCGGGAATGAAACTAGTACGAGGGGGCTACAGGAAGTGAAAGAGAAGAATGAGAATAGAGAGGATTGAGGAAAATGAATGAGAATAGGAAGTGAAAGAGAAGAATGAGAATAGAGAGGATTGAGGAAAGGACAAAAGATGAACGGGAATGAAACTAGTACGCAGGGGGCTACAGGAAGTGAAAGAGAAGAATGAGAATAGAGAGGATTGAGGAAAGGACAAAAGATGAACGGGAATGAAACTAGTACGCAGGGGGCTACAGGAAGTGAAAGAGAAGAATGAGAATAGAGAGGATTGAGGAAAGGACAAAAGATGAACGGGAATGAAACTAGTACGCAGGGGGGGAAGAAAAGAGAAGAAGGAAGATTGAGGAAAGGACAAAAGATGAACTGAATAAAACTAGAGAGGGGGACAGGGAGTGAAAGAGAAGAATGAGAATGAGGATTGAGGAAAGGACAAAAGATGAACAGGAATGAAACTAGTACGAGGGGGGCTACAGGGAGTGAAAGAGAAGAATAGAGAGGATTGAGGAAAGGACAAAAGATGAACAGGGAATGAAACTAGTGCATGGGGGGCTACAGGGAGTGAAAGAGAAGAATGAGAATAGAGAGGATTGAGGAAAGGACAAAAGAAAGATGAACAGGGGGCTACAGGGGGAATGAAAATGAGAATAGAGAGGATTGAGGAAAGGACAAAAGATGAGCGGGAATGAAACTATGCAGGGGGGCTACAGGAAGTGATATAGAAGAATGAGAATAGAGAGGATTGACAAAAGGAAAGGACAAAAGAAAGAGAAGAATGAGGAGGATTGAGGAAACAAAAGATGAACAGGAATGAAACTAGTACGCAGGGGGCTACAGGAAGTGAAAGAGAAGAATGAGAATAGAGAGGATTGAGGAAAGGACAAAAGATGAACGGGAATGAAACTAAAGGGGGCTACAGGGAGTGAAAGAGAAGAATGAGAATAGAGAGGATTGAGGAAAGGACAAAAGGAACGGAATGAAAGAGGAAGAAATGAGAATAGAGAGGATTGAGGAAAGGACAAAAGATGAACGGGAATGAAAAACAGGGGGGGCTACAGGAAGTGAAAGGGGGAGAATAGGAGGATTGAAAGGACAAGAGATGAATGAGAATGAAAGAGACGAGGGGATTGACAGAAAGGAAAGAGAAAAAGAATGAAGGATTGAGGAAAGGACAAAAGATGAACGGAATGAAACTAGTACGCAGGGGGGCTACAGGAAGTGAAAGAGAAGAATGAGAATAGAGAGGATTGAGGAAAGGACAAAAAGAAAGGAATGAAAAGATGAACAGGAATGAAAAGAGAAAATGAGAATAGAGAGGATTGAGGGGGATGAACAGGGAATGAAACTAGTATGCATGGGGGGGCTACAGGAAGAAAGAGAAGAATGAGAAAAGAGAAGAATGAGAATAGAGAGGATTGAGGAAAGTGAAAGAGGATGAGAAAAAGATGAGAAAGGAATGAAACTAGTATGAGGGGGCTACAGGAAGTGAAAGAGAAGAATGAGAATAGAGAGGATTGAGGAAAGGACAAAAGATGAAGGGGAATGAAACAGGAAGTGAAAGAGAAGAATGAGAATAGAGAGGATTGAGGGGGACAAAAGATGAACGGGAATGAAACTAGTAAAGGGGGCTACAGAATGAGAAGAATGAGAATAGAGAGGATTGAGGAAAGGACAAAAGATGAAGGGAATGAAAAAGATGAGGGGGGGCTACAGGAAGGAAGAGAAAATGAGAATAGAGAGGATTGAGGAAAGGGATGAACTACTACAGGAAGGAAGAATGAGAAAAGGAGAAGACAAAAATGAGAATGAAAATAGAGGGGGCTACAGGAGGAAGACTGAGAATGAGGAAAGGACAAAAGATGAATGGGATTCAAGAAGACAGAAGATGGCAATTTACATTACATTTAAATTTTTGAAGATTTTAGCTGTCAGTGAAGCAAGGAAACAGAAGTGTGTCCCAATTTAGCTAATCCAATAGTAAACAAGTGGGACCGAGATGCCAATCTAGTAGCATGATAACATTCATGTAGTCAAGGCACCAGGAAAAAAAACTGAAGTTGCAATGAAAATATTTGTAGAAAAGGCAGAGTGAAGCCACATATAATTAAAATCAAAAATGAAAGGGATAGCAGGCTGAATGAGGTCGGCCAGGTTATGCCACGAGATATAGTGATATCAAAGATTTAAAAGATTAAATTTAAGTCTCCCTGTAACTTAAATAACTAACATTTTTTTAAGAATTTAAAATTGTAAGCAATGTTTAATAAGTCAAAAATGTTTGTCATGTTTAAACTTTCACTCATATTTAAGTTTATAAGTGCTATTAAGAACTACAAGGGGTAAGAAGTTGTGGAGAGCCATGATTGCCCATGGCCTGAAAGGATACAACAAATAGAAGATATATATTTCTGTGAAAGTCATGTACTTAAAAAAGTAAGTTGATCTTAAGACGTGTATTGCAATTCTGCAAGGACAACCATTTCGTACCTCAGGGATTAGTCTTCATCTGTAATTAAGCAACCTGCCTTGTCTTCAGACACCACACCTACAGGAAATGTTTCGGGAATGATAGCAAATGAGAGGTATTCTGATCACTCTAAATGGTCAATTCTTGAGCAATTGTCATGGATGCATGAGAGAAATTCCTTCAATCAATTCTCTCAAAATTAACACAGTGACAAAAAGTACAGCCGTAAAGTATTAAACTCTTGCTGGGTAAAGTTTTATTAATTTTTATTATGAATTTTTTAAATACTAATTTTTATTAATTAACTTTTTTATGAATTTAATGATCTTTTATTAATTTTTTTATTAATGAAACTTTTTTTAATAACAATTAATAAAAAAATTCATTAAATTCATAAAAAAATTGATTAAAAAAAGGTCTATTAATAAAAATTCATAAAAATTAGTAAAAAATTCATTAAATTCGTTAAAAAAAGAGTTTGATAAAAAAATTAATAAAATTAACATTTAAAAATTCATAACAAAAATTAATAAAAAAAATTCATTAAATTTTAATAAAACTTTTTTAATAATTTTTTATGAATAAAAAATACTGATTTTTATAACATTTTTTGGATGTCAGTTTTATCACATTTTTATTAAAATTTGTTTTTGGTCTTGAATCCTCAAAATAAACTATACAGTTAATTAAAAAAAAGAAAACCCATTTGATACACCTTCATAAACTTATCCAGTATCATCTGACATCAACTTCTGCCAGAAGACATTCAACTGCAACATTGGCAAAGTTATAAAAAAAATAATGCTAACCCATTAACCTTTTTTTCTTTAAATGTGTCATCCCAAGCAAGGCAATAATGCCACTAGATCATAGAGGGTTACAGGGAGTGAAAGTTAAAAAGAAGACCGAGAATAGGGAGGATTGAGGAAAGGACCTCAGATTAATAGATACTACTTGATTTTAAATATGAAACCATCATCAAATATATTTGCCTCATGCCTACTGCAGATTTTACAAGATTTCTTTCATGAACCAAACAAGCTTGACATTTAGAATGAAAAGCTGAAGCCATGTTCTGATCATTTATACATGACATGCAAGTCCAAGAGGTCACCTACAGTAATCAGTATTCAAGTGGTCTGCACAAATTTTCTCCCCTAGGAAACGTAATTAGGGGTTCACATTACAACATGCAGTTTTATGGCCTCTTTACAGAGATAAACAATTTAATCGCAAAGAATCAACAAGAAAATGAATATTAAGCCAGAATATCACAAAGACTCCCTGCCACAGCCCAACAACATATCAAATTCTTTATAGAATGGACCAAAAGAGTTCCCCATGCTATTTAATATATGCCATAAATAACATTCAGACACAATTGTCCTTCCATTGGTCGATCAGATGCAGAAGTGACAGTATTAACTGTTTTCTCCATTTGTATTCTATTAAACACAAGACTTCTCCTATAAATATTCATTACTATGATAAGGTTTATTGGATTACACAAGCAACATGTGCTGACAACACCTCCAGAATAAAATCCATGAACAACTTTTTGCCTTTCGAAAAGCCCTGGGTAGATCATGTCAGTCAAGCTGAATTGCAGTTTGAGTCAGCGTGAGAGGATTGTAATAGCAACTGATAGTTATTTACAGTTGATAATTTGCGTGGGTAGTGGAAAGCTACTTGTAAAGCTTCAGGCATATTGATCTCTTTTGCTTCAGTGGCAATAGATTTATGCACCTCTGACGGGTTCATAACGTAAAGAAAGTCTTCTCAAATCCATTTGATTGACTTAATACCAAGAAAGATGGTTTTGAGGAAATCATGTTGATCTCTTTTGGTCGTCACTAACAAAATGGTTTGTTGGAGTTCCACATTATGATCTGTTCTTTCACACCCTATAAATTCTCCTCCTTAGAAGTTTCAAAGTTTTGACTGATCAAAACCACTTCTTCAGATACTGATGTTTTTTAACAAAATGTTTCAACTGGCGCATTCTACAGTTGTCATCAGGTAGACAATTCATGTAGTCAAAGGATATAATACATCACTCACCTGTCAGGTACTTCAGTCAGAATTTCAGTACAATGCAAAATTATTAGCTTAGATCCTGTACAACACACATTTTTTGTCCAATACTTGTTCAGAAAGATTCCTTGGAACAAAAATAATCAAAACGACTTGTTGTTTAATACAATTCAGATGTTCCTATCTTTCAGTAATGATGGTTTGACTTACCAGCAAAGCAGTTTTGTTATTTGTCAGAGTTAGCTCCTCCTTAATTCTCTAATTGTTTACTAGGGGTCATTCTCCCTACTGGGTGACTTCTTGCCTTGTTCTCTTTTCTACTTTGCATTTCAGTGGACACATTTAAAAATGTAATCTCTCATGGAGAACAGCGTTTTCACCCACTTATGGGAAAACACCATGAAACACATATGTGTGTATGAACATTCACCAAAATACAAATTCTTTACGTTCACACATAAACACAAATGTTAATGTCTTTGTCAGTTGTAAATTTGTTGTTTAATATACATATATTTTATGTACAACAATGTCTTGTGCTTATTCTTCTTGTGTAAGTCCTGTTTTCTTATCAAAATTAAATTGATGTGAAGTCCGCCACATATTTACTAATTCAAATGTCAGTGTGAAGCTGATTATGTGGGGGTGAACCATCTTGCAGTTGGAGACCCAGATTGGACAGCATGTACCTATTTATATAAGATAGAGTGGAGTTAGCGACAGTAATTGCTTGACTCAGTTGGTTTGTGAGTTGGTGATAGGGTTACATGCAGTTAACAAACAGGGCTGTACTTTAGAATATTGACGAAACATTCTGAGTACGAAACAAATCTTGGTCGGATAAACATCTATAATTTCTAGAAGCTGTCTTCCCATCAAGCATCACCGATTGTCTTTTTGCAGGCTGAAGAAGAAATTTCTTTATTATCTGTGTCTCATGGGTCAGCCATGAATACAATGTTTCTCTGTTTTATACTCGCTAAAAGTTTATTTACTTCAATTTATTGTTTTAATAATACATTTATTTTAGTCATGGCTCATGGTGGAGTAATGGATAGTGGCTCAGGTTGAGGAATCGGAGAGTCGAGTTCAAATTCCAGTCAAATTGATTACATTCACTTACATGCTAATACCCTTGGGAAAGGTATGAATCCTTTTCTTCTCCCCCCAGCTATGGGTAAATAGCAGGACAGACTGGGTTATATAGCCTTGGATAGCAATTAGTCTACTGCAGAAAGAAATGGCAACCTACTGAGGGGAAAAAACCTGCTTTGTCAGTCACGTATCAAAAGTCAGTTATATGACATGTGTGATACACGCTTAGGCGATCATTGTATCTGAGTCATTATTTATCAACCCTCATTCACTTTTTTGGTTCACTGTTTTGATTATTTTTGTTCCAACGACTCTTCTGAAGAAGTGTTGGACAAAAAAAAAAAAAAGTTCCTTTAAAGTTTGTCCTCTGTCATTTTTAAAACTAAATATATATATATATATATATTGTTACGTGTTGATAAATGTAACAAAGAAAAAAAAAATTATTTACCACAACACAGAGCTAAATCACAAACAAATATTTAATTTACTAAAACAGAACATAAAATATATACAAGATAAACAATTGTGGCCTACAAAACAGAAAACAGAGTTACTGGCAAGTGTTATGAGGGAGAAGGAAAGGGAGTCAAATATCTTTTAAATCACTTTAGGGCTAGTGAAGTAATCTAAGTGCTATATTTGGAAATCCACAAAGGTGTGTAAATAAATATTAATTTTTAGTTTGGTCAATGAAAATTAGTCAAAATTCTATTTACCAACTTTGTTCCATGAAATTCTCTTTTGGGTTTTGGTTGGTCGGCAACTTTTTATAGAGATTCTTTCGGCTGGATATAATAGTCCTTGAATCAAAAGCCGGAGTTGATACTGACAGCAATCTGTTTTCACCAACTGACAACCCTTTTCCAAAATCCCATTTTTATAGGGGCTAACACCTAATTTGCATTTTTCTAGATGTTTCTCGAATCATCTAGATTTTTCTCGAATATACTAGAATGATCTAGAATCTTCCAAACATTCTATTTCTAATTTCACTATTTTACAACTACTTCATGAATGAAAACTTTTTTGTAATAACAAGTAGAACTCAAAGGAATCCCTTTTTATAGAAATGCATCCTCGTAACACTTCCCCCCTTCAAAGTAAAAGTTTTGAAATTTGAATGAAAAACTTTTATAAGACAATATCAGTCTATTTTTTTTTTGTAAAGAAATAAGTCATAATATCAAATTTTTTTTTTTTTTTAAGTTATGCTCTAGACAAAGCATCTGCAATAACATTGTTCCTTCCTTTAATGTGATTTATAATAATATCATATTCTTGCAGGAGAAGACTCCATCTAGTAAGTCTTTGATTTTTGTTAGTCATCTTTTGAAGGAAAGTTAATGGATTATGGTCGGTATAAATCAGAACAGGATGAACAGTAACATTGAGGTAAAAGTCAAAATGTTGTAGTGCTGATAACACTGCCAAGCATTCCTTTTCAATAGTAGAATAGTTTTTCTGGTAGGTGTTGAACTTTTTTGAGAAAAATCCAATGGCTCTATCGACGCCATCATCATCTTCTTGGATTAAGATACCACCCATACCGACATCACTGGCATCGATTTGCAGTTTAAATTGCTTTGAAAAAACTGGAGTTGCAAGAGCTGGGCCACCAATGAGAATCGACTTGATTCTGTTGAAAGCCTTATTACAGGTTTCACTCCACTTGTATTTTACTTCCTTTTTAAGTAGGTCGGTGAGAGGACTTGCTATTGATGAGAAATTTTTACAAAATTTTCTGTAGAATCCTGCCATACCGAGAAATTTCATTAGCTGTTTTTTGTTAGTTGGGATAGGATACTTTAAGATAGCATCCACTTTTGCTGTAATAGGCTTAACCTGTCCCTGACCAACAGTATGACCCAAATAATTTATGTTTGCATGACAGAATTCGCTCTTGTTTAGGTTCACACATAGGTTTGCTTCTTCCAGCTTAAGAAAAAATTGTTTGATGATGTGTATATGTTCGTCCCAAGTCATGCTGTACACAATTACATCATCTATATAGACCTCACATCCCGGAATTTCATGTAGAAGGGAATGCATCATCCTTTGAAAGGTTGCGGTGCATTTTTCATCCCGAACGGCATAACCTTATATTGGTATAAACCATCCGAGTCACAAATGCTGAAATTTCTTTGGCGTTGTCAGTTAATGGTACTTGCCAATAACCTTTCATTAAATCAAATTTACTGACATATTTCGCCTTGCCAATGTTGTCAATACAATCATCAATTCTAGGAATTGGAAAAGAGTCACTTTTGGTTATTGCATTTACTTTTCGAAAATCTGTCACAAATCTGTAAGTGCCATCAGGTTTTGGTACAAGAATACAAGGAGAACTCCACTGACTGTTGCTTGGTTCAATTATGTCATTGTCCAGCATATATTTAATTTCTGCTCTCAACTGCTGAAGCTTGATTGGATTCACCCGATAAAAATGTTGTTTGATGGGTTTTTCATCTCCAACTAAAACATCATGTACTGCAACCGTTGTTTTTGTAGGAACATCAGGAAAAAGATTTTGAAAATCATTGACCAAACCATGAATGTCTTTTCTTTTTTCTCATTTGATAAATGTTTGAATTTTACATTTAAATTAGACAGGATTTCGAGTTTTTTAAATGACTACTCTGATCTATGTCCTCCCTAATAACTGTATCTTCATTATTGTCTAAATCATCTTCAAATTGATTTGTATTACTAACGTTTATTAAAGTTGAGACTGGTTTAGTATTAGTTATATAATTTCTGTCGATGTAATTTTTTAACATATTAATGTGGCAAATTCTTTTCTTTTTTCTTCGATCTGGGGTGCGGATGATATAATTTACATCATTAATTTTCTTTTCTATTTCATAAGGACCAAAATATCTTGCTTGTAGAGGATGATTAGGAATTGGTAAAAATACTAAAACTTTGTCACCACTTTCAAATTTACGATTTTTACAATTTTTATCGTATCTAGTCTTCATTTTAATTTGAGAGTTTATTAAATTATCTTGTGCTATTTTGAAAGCATTATATAATTTTTCTTTAAAATTTGATACATAGTCCAAAAGATGCATCTCATTTTTTTCAGTCAACCATTTTTCTTTTAGAAGTCTTAGCGGACCCCTAACCGTATGTCCAAAAACTAATTGAAAAGGGCTAAACCCAAGAGTGTCTTCAACAGCTTCTCTAGCAGCAAATAAAACAAAATGCACCCCTTCATCCCAATCCTTTTTATATTGATAACAATATTTTCCAATCATAGATTTTACCGTTTGATGAAAACGCTCAAGAGCCCCTTGTGATTCGGGGTGATAGGCACTAGATTTGTATTGTTTAATAGCCATTTCACTCATTACTTGTTGAAATAAACAAGACATAAAATTCGAACCTTGGTCTGACTGAATGGCGAAGGAATCCCGACTAAACAGAAAAACTTAGTTAAAGCCTTAACAATAGACCTAGCCTTAATATTTCTTAGAGGGATAGCCTCTGGAAAGCGAGTTGACATACACATAATTGTCAATAAATATTGGTTTCCTATTTTTGTTTTTGGAAGAGGGCCAACACAGTCAACTAGTACTCTATTGAAAGGTTCTTCAAATGCTGGAATAGGTTTCAGAGGGGCGGACGGA